GATTCCCTCTTCCCCCTATTCTACCTCCACCCACTCAAACTTCCTGTTCCCCCATGACCTACTCTCTCTTCCTCTTCTCCCCCTCTCTTCTTCCCAGCTCCCACTGCCCCCCCCTTGCCGTGTTCCCCATCCATTCAGAGGATCTTGTCTCAATCCTCTTCTCTTGGGTACTATGCATATTTGCATATCTTTTAGGTTCTTTCCTGTTTCCCAGACTCTCTGTTAGTGGAAGTGCAGACTGGCACTCTCCTGATCCATGTCTAAAATCCATATATGAGTGAGTACATACCATGTTTGTCTTTTTGCGACTGGGTTACCCCACTCAGGATGGTTTCTTCCAGTGCTATCCATTTACCTGCAAATTTCAAGATTCCATTGTTTTTTTCTGCTGAGTAATACTCCATTGTGTAAATGTACCACATTTTCTCTATCCACTCTTCAGTTGAGGGGCATCTAGGTTGCTTCCAGGAAGTTGAGGTATGTTTACAGAGTGTCCCAAGGCCATGCCACACTTGAGGATTTTGCTAGACTGTAACAGTATGAAGTCAGCAGGTGGCACTGTGACACCAAGGCCCTACTTGGCATGGGACAGAAGCATAGAAGAACTTGTGTATACAACTTATGTTTGCAGGGGTGGCTTGTCAGCTAAGGCTGTTATGGGCCACACCATGGAACCTTTCAATCGGGATTTGCTTCTTCTACCACTTCCTGTTCATGTTTTTCTCCTTCTGTTTGCTCACTGGGGTAGATAGGTGAAAAGTGCCTGTGAGCCACTTTGATGTTGGGACTGTTTCTCTAGAGGCCAAAGAGAGATTCAATTTCTCTTGCCTTCTCTTGTTTACTCAGCCTTTTATAAAAGCATGATAGCCCTGCTTAGTATCCAAGAATATTTTACCAGGAACACCAAGTTGAGTTCAGGTATTTGTCTGCCAAGGACACATCTGTATTTTGTTAAGTTCTGATTTCTGTGCTTCGCATCTGTGCTTGGATTCAGTTAATCAGAACCCTGAGCTGTTGTCAGTGACTACTCTAGACCTTTAGGAAGTTTCTTTGGCTCTTTTCACCTATGTTTTTTTAAGTGAATGGGTATGAATAGTTACTCCGAGTAATAGTCTTCAGAAGATAAAGCAGAGCAATGCACAGTAGATAGTAGGAGAGAGGCCACGAAGTAGTCATTTCTGGTTTCTGTAGGCTTATGTGTTTTGGGATCAAAGTATCACAATCCTGAAGCTTGTCTGTGTTCAGCATACACGACACTCAGTTCTAGGGGCCTAGAAAATGCCATAGAGAACAATGGAGACCGTGCTTGAGACGTGACTAGCAAGTGGGATCTGGATGAGTAGCTCAGTGTGAGAAAGAGGAGTAAAATGTTCCAGAAGAATGGCTCCTAGGCTGGCAAATACTGGAAAGGCTTAATTTGTCTTGCCAGGGCCTTAAGGTTTGGGGTGGAGGCCAGAGCTTGAGGTAGTGAATTGAGTTTCCCATGTGGCTTCTCAGCTGCCACTTCGGCCATAGCTCCAGCTTGCTCGCTGGCAGAGTCTGAGCCAGTACCTTCCTGCTGCTTCTTTTATCTTCTTTGCTGTTAGATAGGGCAGTGAGTACTATATCACCTTGCCCTCTTCCTCTTCCCCCAGTGCCAGGCTGCCAGGTAGATATGGGTTTAGCAAGAAGAAAAAGGGCAGCCTTAAATACATCCATTCCCCTGTCTCACGAGTAACTTATGTCACCTAATTTCTTTTTGTTGTACCTGGTCTGGGAGAGTAGAGATAACATGTATAGGGTCAGCCTAAAACTGTTTGTAACTTGATAGGGCAACCAGCTAACTGAATATCCTGAGAAAGTGGATAACTGAATATCCTGAGAAAGTGGATTCAAGAGCCTGAGATATACCGGGGGACTGCTGTGGGAACATCAGAGGGCACCTCCCCAACAAGAAAGGGTTTTCCAAGGGAGTTGATGGTTGAACTGGCTAGGAAAGGGTATGGTGGTTGATGTGTAGAACTAGGCATGTTTCAGGCATGGTGATGGCTTGCCATTATTCCCATACAGTGGCTCAACCAGAGGAGAAACCAGTCAAATTTGTCAGCTCTGGGGTGGATGGGAACTTTGTACCGATGCCAGTAGGGAAGAAGCACCAGGCACTGGTGGTGGGAATCACTAGAGGTTGTCTTCTCTAGAGCTGACATGGAAAACACAGGACTTGATGAGGAACAGGGAGGACAGAGTTGAAGACAGCTTATACGCTTGGCACTACAGCAGGAACACACTTGGTAGCTCCCTCTGGAGTAATGGAAGACCCATCTTGGCAGACTCTGGAATATTTGCGATAGCATCAAAGCTTATATTTAGTAGGTAGTTGAATTAGGAGTCTGGTGGCAGAAAGACCCTTTAGGGGATAAAATTAGCTGGAAGAAAATCTAGAATACAGAGTAGACACCCGAGGAACAGAGTACTAGGTAACAGACATCTTAAAAGTGATCTGTTAGTAGCAGCATATGTTACAGAGTGCATATCCTCTGAAAACTTGAGTGGTTGAAGGATGAGGCAGTTAGGGGGCAAGGGCAGGGGATAAGTAGGAAGGAGAGAAGATGGGCTTAAGTGGAAATGGTAAGAAAGTTGATGAGGAGAAGTTGTAGGCAAGGGCATGAGATGCAACATACCAGGGAAAATGACAACTCCAACACAGGTGGTATGAAAGAACTGTCAGTGTGTGTGTTTGGGGTGCAGTTACAGTATTTGTCCTTGGAGGTCAACTAGGGTGCCCTGGAAGGGAGATGGGAAATGTCCATGACAGTTGGCCAGAGGAAGGAATATCAGGACCTGGTTGGCAGTGTGGCTTTCTTCCTACTGGCTGAAAACCAAAGGTCAGAATTGTGAGCAGACAATGTCCAGGTCTTATGCTTGGGTTTTATGGGTGCTGGGTCTTATGCTTGGGTTTTGTGGGTGCTGGGTCTTTTTTTTTTTTTTTTTTTTTTTGGTTTTTCGAGTCAGGGTTTCTCTGTGGCTTTGGAGGCTGTCCTGGAACTCGCTCTGTAGACCAGGCTGGCCTCGAACTCACAGAGATCCACCTGCCTCTGCCTCCCGAGTGCTGGGATTAAAGGCGTGCGCCACCAACGCCCGGCGGGTGCTGGGTCTTATGCTTGGGTTTTATGGATGCTGTATTCTGTGCATGTCCTGAACTATTTAAGAAACCCTGGTTCGCAAGATCTGAGAAGGGTCTAGGATAGCATTCAAGATACCTGTTGCAGCACCTTTCTGGTTGTGGCAGTCATCTACCAGTGGGGTGATGCCTTTTGACTCTCCCTAGCAGCCATTTGCCTGGCCAGGTGGGAGTGGCAACCCTTGGGTTTACTCACTCATCTTTGCTAGAACCCAGCAATGTCCATGGGCCCTATATCTACCCCCAGGTGGCACACATTGCCGCTCCCACCCCCATTTCTAAGTGTGGAGTGGGCCCTCTTAAAGTTTAAAGGGACCTGTTCAGGAACTAGGAAGCTTCTGTGCTGGGAATTGGGACTAGTCACAGTTGCCTTTCTTTCTGGCTTCTCTGTGACTTCTGGTCACTGTGAGTCAGGCCCATGACTACTTGCTGGCTTCTGGGTTGCCTGGTAGCTTCTTCTACTTTTAGGGCTTTAACCCAGTAAGGGGCAGGCTGGTGGGCAGCTCTGGGCTGAGGCAGGGAAACCTGAGCTCTAGGCCACGAGGTCTGGACTGCTAATTTTAGAGAACACATGTCACTGGAAATTCTCCCCTCCTGCCAGGAATCAACAGCCTGGATCTCACTGTGCCACCAGAGACACCTGGGAGCTTCTCCCCAAAGCAAGACCTACAAAGCCCCTCTATCCCACATGTGCATTCCCAAAAAGGGTTCTGCTAGAGCCCTGCAGAGCCTGGGCAAAGGGTGAGAATACAGTTCAAAACCTGCTCTGTGCTTCTGATTTCCTTGCCTGCTCAGGCTGTAGGTAGGGACGACAGAGTGTCAATGTACCATGGACCAGAGAGACCAGCTCTGGCTGCTGCTACTCTTCTGAGCAAGCACTTTTGTTGAAGTGCCCTGGAACAGGCATCAGGCATGTTTCTTCGTATTTCCTCAGACCTCTTCATGCACTTTGCCTGACTCCCAAGTGCTACGGCTAGACATGTGGGAAAGTATTCCTCTTTCCTGCCTGCCTGAGCAGTGCCTTTCTCAAGGCTGTAGCAAGTCCTTTTGTCCTCTTATCTAGTCTTACTGTTCAGGGACTAGTGCGTATCCCCACTTGGTACCTGTTTACCTTTCCAGCTGCTTGAGACAGACAACAGACACGTCTTGATTTTTCTTTCTCTGCCCCAAGTAGTGAAAGACTACTTCAGTTTGAGTGCTATTATATAGCATATAGTATGGCAGCTGGTTGTAAGATGTATTTGGGAAGGGGATTTGGAGAAGAAGGGTTTTTCTACTCATGTCTCTCAGTGCAGGTTTTGGAATCAAATCAAGTAAACGGGGGTTGAAATTATAGCTATATGAATTTCTGGCTCTTTATCTTATAGGCACATTGCTTCATCTTCCTGAGCCTCAGTTTTCTGTCAAATGAGGGTAACAGTAGTAACTACCTCATAAAATAGCCATGAGGAATTCACTTGGCATGTTGGAAGTACCCAAATTTGTTTATCTGATATTGTTCTCTTAGGGAGGCAAGCACGGCCTTGCAGAGAAAAAAATAGTGCTGAGGCTTATCTAGCACATCTAGGCCCTTACCTGGAAAGTGCTGGTGTTTTAAGAGCTTTGCTATATAGCTAGGCTGTGCCTGGGTGTACTTCTATTTCCAGTTCTTCCCTGAGATATTTCCCAGAGTCCAGTGTAGCTGTTTGGGGGAGCTGGCAAAGCAAGTTCCTGGGCCCCACTTTGTGTTGCCAGGTCCAGGCTGGAGGCAGGCTGGGCAAGTAGTAGCCAAGACGAGTTTCTTCCAGGCCCTTTGCTCTCGTACTTCTCACTTCTCTCCTCTTTTTGTAAACAATTGCAGCCTGCTTAGACGCCTGGTAACTCTCATCTCCCAGCAGGCCACACTGCTGGCCTCCAATGAAGCCTTTAAAAAGCAGGCAGAAAGTGCCAGCGAGGCGGCCAAGAAATACATGGAGGAGAATGACCAGCTAAAGAAGGTGAGTTAACTCTGCCTTCACAACTTGAGTGGGGTGTCCAGAACCACGGTGCTAGAACCACATTTCTAAGGGTCCACAGTGGTCACTTTTAGACTGCAACCTGACAAAGGAAGTTTTTAGTGGGGGAAGGTGTGCCTGTTGGAAGGATCTGGAGTAAGTCTGTTGCCTTCTGTTAGATGGTAGGGACACAGAGGAAGAGGCTGTTGCCACTATTGTATTCATGTTCTGGTTCTAGTTGGAGTCTTCTCTGATGAGAATAAATCTTCTGGAAGCAGAGACCTATGCTGGGACTCAACCTTTTATTCTTCAGAAGTTAGCTGTTAGCTGCACCCCTTCCATAACATGGTGCTAATGGACCCCTTGGTCCTAGGGAAGATGCAGAGACCAGTTTGCTGGCCTGTCAGAGGAAGTGAAGTGTAAGCCAAGATAGGAAGAAGAGTGATGGTTTGGAGATTGGTGGGGTGCAATTGGATAGGAACAAATTTTGGGGTCATTGACTGTAGTGAGCTGTAAGAACCAGGGAAGAGAAGAAATAGGAGTGGTTAGGTTATCTGGTCAGAGAGCTCCATGTGACAGCAAGTTGAGTCTCTGGTTAGATGAGTAAACTCCACAGAACCATTGGATTTTACTGGTGGGAAGGTAGCCCTAGTGGCCAGGGTAAACAGTGCGTGGCCTGTGAACTTGTAGTAGGTGCCTCTGCTGGCCATTCTCCTTTCCTCAGCAGCTAGTCACATTCTTGTCTGTGCCTGGGAGCTTGTAGTGGCCATTTCTGTCTTGACATTTCCAAAAGGGCAAGTAATTGCTGGAGGTAGCTTGAGAAATCACAGTTCCATGGAGTGCACTGGTCTGGAGATGCTTCACTTTTACTTTCCCTAGGAAGCTGCTGAGGACGGGGCAAAGTTGGATGTTGGGAATACTGAGGTGAAGTTAGAGGAGAACAAGACCCTGAAGAATGATCTGAAGAAGCTAAAAGATGAGCTGGCCAACACCAAGAAAAGTGAGGATTGCCCTCCAGACGCTCCACTGTATACTGCTGCTCCCTTGTAACACTTCATGTGCAAACTCAAAAGTTAGGTGGAAAAAAACAGCATTCTGTACCTTCGTGCCCAAATATGACTGAGCAAGTTCACTGCTAGAACATTTCAGTGATTTGAGTAGAGTTTGGAAAAGCCTTAGCAGCTTCTTTATATGCTAGTAGTACCTACTATGGGTTTCTTGTCAAGACAGGCAGGCAGGGGGAGCCCCAAGATGCTTGGGAGCTGAGAACAAAAGCAGTGCCAAGAAAAAGAATTTGTGTGCTCTGTCCTCCATTTCTCCCTTCTCTTTTCCTTCTCCTAGGTTAACTTTAGACTCATTCAGCACTGTAGGCATTGGCCACTGATACTGTGTAAGGTATCATTGTCATTAGGAGTCTTGGTGCTAGGATTTTGCTCATTGCTTCTCACTGCCAGCCAGTCAAAAGGTTACCCCCTTCTGAGAACCATTAATGTTCCTCCATTGAAGGGACTAATAGGGGAAGTGCTCTGACTTTTTGTTCCATCTAGCTGTTGGGTCATCCCTCCCTTTCACTTCTCTAGTGGCAGAGACATAAAGACAGAAACATTGACAAACACTGGAACCTTTCTTTACAACCTCTTTTGAGACAGATTCAGAGCAGTTTTCTGTTTTGAGTGGGTAGGGTTTTTTTCCTTACATAATTTCTTTCTGTATTCATTTGTATTGTTGCCAGAACTAGAGAAAGCTGAAAACGAGGCTCTGGCCATGCAGAAGCAGTCTGAGGGCCTTACCAAGGAATATGACCGTCTGTTGGAAGAGCATGCCAAGCTGCAGGTCAGTGTTTCTCTACTATATGTGCAGGTTAGGGTCAAGGTCCTGCAGCACAGTTCCTAGGGTTGCTGGGGAGCTTGCTGCCTGTTCTTTAGGTGTCCTGTTGGTGTTGTTCTCCTGCCCTTCCTTGCTGCTTCCTTTTTGCTAAGTGTGGAGTTGAAGCGACTCAGCTGCTAGAACCCTTCATGCAGGAGGTGTGGCATGGTACTAGATGCTGGGCTGGAACCTGCTAAGAGCAACCCATGTTGGTTAGTTCTCTGCTTTGAGTCCTTCCTACCTTAAATTCAGTGTCAAGCTCTTAAAGAGGGGGTACTTAACATTTTAGGACAGGGTCTCATCAGGAACATACATGGGAAAGCTGGATGTGCTGGCCACACCTGAAATGCCATTACTTTAGGAAGTTGCGACTGGAGAATTGAGAAAACTCCAGGTCAGCCTAGACTACATACTGAACTCTGCTTTAAAAAAAAACAAAAAAGCCAGTAAGTAGGGATCTACTTCTGTCTGACTTTCCTGTGGGATTGGGGAGGGGTAATTTTTGACAAAGTTTGAAGCAAGTGAGGAGAAAGCTTCAAAGGGCACCTCAGCTGGTAGGTGCTGGTTGTTTATGTGAGTTTTCAGGCTAACCTCACAACTCCAGGTATAGCTGAGCCCTCAGAATATACCAGGCTATCTGGACAAGACTTGGGGGATGGGATCCATGTGTCTATGAAGGTGTCCATACATGGACATCAGAGGATAACCTTGGTATCACCCCTCAAGAGCTATCCATCTTGTTTTATGAGACATGATCTCTTATTGGCCTGGACCTTACAAAGTAGACTAAGCTGACTAGCTATAGACATCTGCCTGATCTCTCTCTCCAGCTCGGGGGTTACAGGCATGCTTTACTATACCTGGGTTCTTGAGTGTTTTGGGCATTGAGCCCAGGTCCTCATCCTTTATGACAGATACCAACTCCCAACTCCTAAGCATGTGGATTTTAAGAACACTAATGGAAAGTACACAATGGTGGAAAGGCCCTAAAGGCTGGTGGTCTGCTGCGTGCTCTAGAGGAGGTCTTTGTTCTGTTGTCACCGCAGTAAAAGAGAACTGTAGTTACTGCCTTCAGCTGCCACTGTATCCCAATGAGACTCAGCTCACTGAGTTCCTGCCAGTCCTCTCCTAGCATTAAGTCCAGGGTCTTCCTAGTAGATGGATAAGCTGACACATTACCGTGGCAAACTTTTGGGTACTGTTGAAAGTAGGGCACCTTGCTTGCCTGGATACTTAGTTATTAACAGTATTAGGGACATAATACTAAAGGCCCAGGGGGTGGAGATGGGTCCTGCTAATTTACTCCTTTGTTTTTTTCCCCTCCTTTTCCAGGCCTCAGTACATGGTCCCTCGGATAAGAAGGAGGAGTAAAGGCTTGTTTCTTCCCTGCCTGCAGCTGGCTTCCACCTGACCCATGCTCACTGCTTCCCAAGATAGCCTCTCCTCCCTCTGGTACTTTGGGTTTATTCCCTTCTGCTTCCCCAGTTTTCTTCCATAGTTTGTAAATCATGATTTTGACCCCTATACACATACTGCCATCATACCAAAAGGGACCTGATTGTTGCTCATTCAGAGTAATTTTGCCACAATTCTGCTTGGCCAGGGCACTTTTCACTCCTAGAAGTGTAGAAGGGCGCTTGTGACCTGGCATGCAGTTAAGGCCCATTTATTTTGCTGTGTGTCCTAAAGGAGGCTGTAAGGCAGGCCTCAACTCTTTTATCCTGGGGGCAATAAAGGTTGTTATGTTACAAACTGTGTCTGAGGCTTTAGGGATGGTCCTGCGTCTCCCCTCTCAAAGCCATATAGTGTCCAGGAAGGTTGCAGAGGCCCAGTGTGGTACTCTTTCTTTCCTTGAACTTGTTCTTAGCCCCTGAAGAACAGGCTCACACTTGCCCTCAAAGCTCTTGTTTTCTCTACCCCTGCCCTTCCCCCTCTTGCTCCTCTTCAGCCAGGGCAACTCCACTTTATGATTCTTGGGGAGTGTCTGTCTTGTCAGTCTCCCTGGGAGTTGGCAACTGTCTGGGAAGCCCGGTAAACCAGCAGGACTTCCTGGTGCCTTCTCGGGGTTCCTATTCATCACATTCAGGACAGATAGAATGTGGCAGAACTCCACCAGTCACTCCCTGCCCAACCCCCTCCTGAAGGTTTACAGCCTGACCTCTGACTAATGCTGACTAGGAGAGGAGACTGTCCTTGGCAGTGACCTAGAGCTGGCTAGGGCAGAACAAGGCAATCAAGAAGGGACTGCACAGTGCTTGGGTCTCCCTATTGCCCACCAGCTATGTAGACTTACTGGGTGGGGTCCTGCCTCTAAGCACTGACTTGCTTTGCTGCCCTCACTGCCTACTTAATTAGAGCAAGATCAACCTGCAGCTAAGCTGCCCTCCAGCAGGGCACAAGAAAGGACCTGTCCCTGATTAGGTACTTGTCACCCCATCCACCCTAACCCTACCCTCTTTTATCAGCTTTTCTGCTTAGGGTGTGCTGTGCCTACTGTCTGTGAAAACTGGGTGGAGGGATTATAGGAGCAAGTTAGAAGTGTCTCTTGGAATTGGAGTAACTCCTGAAGATGTTGATATTGGCTAGATGGTTTGCAGATAACTATCTTCTTACTCCTGTCTGACCTGTCTGGGATTAGGCCAAGCAGCTGCCTTTTCAAGCATTCTGTTACTCTTCCCCACCCTCAAAAAATGGCAGCTCTGTGAAGAATCCACCCCTTTCCCAGCAGTCTAAAGGTGTTGTTGCTCATGGGGGCAGGGGCATTCTGGTAACACCCTCTGGTTTTTATGCCAAGGCATAGGACTAGTCTGCTTTTCCAGGAAGTGTTCTTGACTACTTCAGGCCTCTCTGGACTTGCTTGTCTGTGCTTTGGAAGGCTAAAGTCCAGATCACCTCTTCTGCTTGTCCACTCTGACCCTGGCCACTACTGTCTCTGGCCAGCTTCTGGGACATTCTGTCTGATGGTTCACCACTCCATTTTCTTGCTCTATTTGGATCTTTTGGTCTCAGTTTCTTTTGGCAGGGGATTGAGACAGGGTTTTTCTGTGTAATCCTAATTGTCCTGGAACTTGCTCTGTAGACCAGGCTGGCCTTGAACTCAGATCTGCCTGCCTGCTGGGATTAAAGGCGTGTGCCACCAATGCCCTTTGGTCACCCTTCCTTCCTTCCTTCCTTCCTTCCTTCCTTCCTTCCTTCCTTCCTTCCTTCCTTCCTTTCTTCCTTCCTCCCTCCTTTCCCTCCCTCCCTCCCTCCCCTTCCTTCTGGTTTTTTTGAGACAGGGTTTCTCTGTGGCTTTGGAAGGTGTGCTGGAACTAGCTCTTGTAGCTAGTCTTGAACTCACAGAGATCCTCCTGCCTCTGCCGCCCCCCTTCCCCCAGTGCTGGGATTAAAGGTTTGTGCCACCAATGCCCGGCTTGGCTTGGTCACAGTTTCCTTTTTTTTTTTTTTTTTTAGAGGCTGTGCTGGAACTTACTCTAGACCAGGCTGGTCTCGAACTCACAGAGATCCACCTGCCTCTGCCTCCTGAGTGCTGGGATTAAAGGCGTGCGCCACCCATGCCCGGCTGGTCAGTTTCTTAAGCCCTTGTATAGAAGCAGATTTCCTGAGCTTGCCCCAGGTGATAACTGCTTCCTGCTCTGCATGGAACAGAACCACTTTGCACAAAACAGGACTAGGGCTGTCACCATCCCTCCTGTGGCATCAGAGACTGACCTCTGTTTGCACTACGTCCCACCCTTCTAAGACCTGTCTTCTATCACTTTTTTACATTATGGTAAAACATAAATTTATTTACTTATAACACATAAAACATCATCACCATTTTCAAGTGCACATTTGATGGCATTAAGCACTTGCACATGTAGAACTTGACATCACCTGTCTGCACAATTATGTGCTCATCTCCCCATATTGGAGCTTTCCCCATTAAACCATATTCCTTTAACCGCAGCCCCTGGTACTCATTCTACTCTGTCTGTATGAATTTAATGCTCTAGAAGTTTCTTGTGAGTAGAATCATACAATGTTCTTTTGAAAGTGGCTCATTTTGCCAGTCATTTCCTTTGGGACCACCCATGTAGCATATATCTCAATTTCCTTTTTCAGGCTGAGTAATACTATATTCTATGGACAAACCATACTTCATTCATGTACATTTGGGTCCCTCCCTCCACTGGTCATTGAATTTAGGATTTTGCACATGCTAGGCAAATGTTCTGCTTCTGAACTGTATATCCTGCTTTTTATGTTTTGAGACAATCTTGATAGGTTGCCCAGGATGACTTTAAACTTTCCCTATAGCCCAGGAAGACTTTTAATTTATGATTCCCCTGCCTTAGCTGCCCCCCCAATAGCCAGGATTGCCAGGCTCTGCTAACTCCACCACCACCCTACCGCACTCCGTAACTTCAGCAACCTGGGAATTAAACCCAGGGCCTTGTAGGTAGGTGATTTGTTACTGATCATATCCTTAGCTACTAGGCTGACCTTGAACTCACTCTGCAGCACAACCAACCTTGAACTTTTGGTCTTCCTGCTTTAGCCTCCTGAGTACCTGGTTTCACAGCTGACTTCTTTTATTCTAATGAGGTTTTTACATGGGGCCCAAGACCACTCTTGTCCTTGGCTACACAGTGAACTATAGCACAATCTTTGACCCTTGAAGGCTAGTCAGGGCCCAGGCTGGTGTATTTTGCTGAGTCTTCCCTTTGTACCCACTTTGCTCTACCCCCAGCCCTTCCAGACTCAGAACTCATCTGTGTGTAGTGAGAACTTGAAGTTTTAGCTCTAGGCCATACTGCAAACTCCTATGTCCATTTGCTAACTGGAGATCTCCACTTGGATAACATTTCCCAGACGACATGCCCAAAGCCAATTCCCAGTTGTCCTCATCACAGGACCTGACAGCACCATTCTTCCTGTGGCTCAAGTCAAATCTCTGGTAATTGTCCTCAGTCCTGACAGCCCCTTCTGGCTCTGCCAGAAAAGTAGACCCCGATCCAAAGACCCTTCCCTACCCCGCTCTAGTGCCACTAACAGGCGTGCCTAGGCCGTGTGATCCTGGTGGCTACTTGCTCAGGAACACTTGTATTGATCCACCTGCCTCAATTTTTGTTTTTTTTTTGAGATAGGGTTTTCCTGTATTGCTTTGGAACCTGTCTCTGTATACCAGGCTGGCCTCGAACTCACAGAGATCCACCTGCCTCTCTCCCGATAGCTGGGATTAAAGGAGCTTGCCACTACCGCCCAGCCTGCCTCAATATGTTGAGGCTTATAACCACACGCTACTGTTCCTGGTTCAGTAAAATGCTTAAGAGCAACTCATGGCTGTAGCCTACCTTCTCTGCTGCATTTGTTCCTATTGAACTTACTGTCACCCCATGCTCTTCACTCTAGGGGACTGAGGCTTTACGACTGTGTTCCTTTCCTGCTATTTCCAGTTTTTGACATGGTGCCAGGTATAGAGTCTTTCAGAATGGGCCTTACCTAATGCAGAGCTGGAGCTGGAGGAAGGTCCCCACACCTGTATCCCCATCTCATACCTCTTTCAGAGAAGCAGGAGCCAGTTTTGGAAAATGAAGTGTTTTTATTGCTATGTTTGCAGTGGCTTTTTTAGCACAGTAAGAATGTCCCCAAAGGCCTGCACCCTTACCCAGCCCCACCTCCCTGACTTAGTCTAACCCTGTGTGAAATATGCCTTTCTAGGGCTACTTAGCTATCTCAGGCTTGATGGGACACATGTGAGTTTAAGCTGCTACATGGAAGACTTGAGATGTCAAAAGTACATTAGCCTTTAGCTTAGAGGTGGGAGCTGTGCCCAGGATACCTTCCCTGGGCTGTGTCCATGGGTAATCCCTGAAATCATGCCCAGTCCAGGGAACAGGGTATGGGCAAGCCTGAGCATGCCAGGTGAGCAGACCCAGAGCCCTGGGACAATGCTGTAGCCTTCTACCCCACATAGACTTGGGAGCAAAGGGATAGCATGGTGATACCCTTGAGGTCCCCACTTTCTCAGGCTGGAGACCACACAAAGCATCCACACAGACTCATACTCAACAGCCTGAAGCTTTTGTTTCACCTATGAAAATTTAAGTCTATATAAATTCACACTCCTTGGCTAGGGTCAGAGAAAAAAGATGGGGATGTGAAGGAAAGGAATGGTAAGGTGGGGATGGTTGGGGCTTTTTAGAAATATACAAGCAGAAGTCTCACTCTCAGTTTTTTTCTTATAAAATGTGCAAAATACAAGCCTCCTTTGTCCAGAGGCTGTTTACTTCTGGTATTCACCTTCACTAAGAGATAAGAGATCTATACACACACACACACTCACACACACACACTCACACTCAGACCCAAGCTCATACAATTACTATTGGTGGCAATTGGCGCAAGAACACAATGTTCCATTGCTGACTGGCTCTATAGCTTCTAGAACAGGGGTGGGAAGGGGGGGACGGGATGGGACGGGACTAATCCAGCTGAAACATTTGCCTTGGTTCCACTGTCCCTCTCTTGCCTCCCCTCCTGTCCCACCTTAATTCCCTCCTCTCCTGTTCCCCAAGCTGCCACTGTTGTTTCTAGGGTGAAGGTATGTTACAGAGCAGAGCTTGGGAGGCAGGCAGGTAGGGCTGTCAAGGCTAGGAGATGGGTCCTGGGGACTTGGAGGAAGGACAGGAGGTGGGGCCTGGAAGCAATACAAGTACCAGCGTGGCTAAGGGCTGGGGAGGAGAGGCATCTATTTTTGGTGGGTTGTG